AACTCACTGGTTCGTTTTTGTATTCAGTTGAAACTTTCAGAAAGAAGTGATTTCATTTGATCATAGCTATTGGATCATCGCCGTTCACCTCACCTCACCTCACCTCTTATGCATTTACGCTCTTATATAGGAAATGATAACCAGACGGATCACACTCATTAATTATTGTTGTGATCACTATTGATTGTATTGACACTATTGATGTTTTTATTGTTATCATTATCTTATGATTAGTTTTGTTACAAATATTTCCGAGGAAAAATATATCTGCGAATGCATATTCGAGTCTGCATCGAGCTGTTGTTCATTTTAGGGAGTAGTTTTTGGGCCTAAGCCTCATAGGGCAGAAATATTTGATATACTGATATGAGAAGGTTTACACGTTGCGACCAGTTTGTTCGGAATTTGACTTGCTTTGTTTTCATTTCAGGTATTTCAATCAGAAGCCAGAGAAGTTGGCTATGCTGATAACAAAGTATCAGAATCGCAGTGGATTCTGTCATCGTGATCTGTTTCGTCTATGTCACATCCGTCCATTGATGTCGTTCCCGAAAGAACATGCATATTGGCAGCATCACAAAGAATACGATTTCATACTCGCCTATGTTGTTGGAGGTATGTTGCGACATCGTATCTGAATTATACTTCACTCTCTTCTCATTATTTCGACTTCAGCTTCAGCTTTAGACTATCAACATTGGATTCAAATGTTCGGAAAGAAATTTACGATGCAGAAACTTAGTGAATGTGAGTGTATTTTCAGAATGAAATTCAATTCATTGTTGTTTTTTATAGATACTGAAGAAGCGCGTAAGCGTAAGGCAGTAGAAGGCGAAGGTGATGCGGGAAAGAAGCGAAAAACTGAGAACTTGAAGCCGGAAACAGAAGAAGAACGCAAGAAGAGAGAGGAAAGACAACAAGCGCAGATCCAAAGGCAGATGGCAAAATTGAAACTGATTGAAAGCAATAAGAAATTAATCAGTGACCTGAAACGGGCAGATGCACCGGATGCCGAAGGAACACAAGTGGCCACTTTAATCTGGGCTGTGGAAGAGATCAAACAAGTGACGGATCCGCATAAAGCAGCCGATTTGATTCGAGGATGTGGTGCGTTTTGGTTGAATATCTTTCAAGAGCTTTTAAGTGGGTGATATACTGATTGATATAATGAATTAATCGCAAGGTAATAATGAATTGTAAGTGGTCGGTTTTTTGCGATTTCATTCTAAAAAATTGAAAATTGAAGTCGATTGACATCGTCGTCATTGAATTGAACGAAACGAATGTGAATTCATTTAGTGTGAGTGATCGTTTTTGGCCAGCAGATTTTCTATTCAACGTTTTGTTTTATCGTTGCATCAGTCAGACGTTGTGGGAAGAGTTAAGCGGGAATTTCTTTATTCTTTTAGAGAATTAACGAGACAAATCAAGTNTTGACATGCTCACGGATCTACCCGATAATAAGTTCGTTTGTTCGAAAATCTTTTTACGTAAATCGCCTGGTTGGTGTTGTTTTAGAGAACTCTGAATAAGATAGCAGGGAAACGTCCACGATTCAAAAAGCTTGCGAACATCGCTCTCTCCTCTTGTCTGTTTTTTATTGTTTTGAACTGAATTATATTCATTTGGTGTAGAAAGTGGTTCAAGTTAAAGATTCGCTTGTGTATAGTATATCGAGCCAATGATGTATGGCTTAAAGATAGTATATATGGCTTGTACACGGTGAAATTTCAGGAAATATGTTGAACGGGTAGTAGGGCAATTAACAAGTGAAGAAGCACTCCATCAGGCTAGAATTCATCCGATGAATGTGCTCTTAGCATCAGCAGTGTACAAATCAGGTGGTGGATTCAGAGGGAAACTCCGCTGGGATACGAACGAAAAGATCTCAGAAGCTTTGGAGAAGGCATTCATTTTATCGTTCAAAAATGTGACACCATCAAATAAACGTTTCTGTTTGGCGCTTGATGTCTCGGGTATAGTGATTTGAA